CAGACGCATGGTCAGGAGAACACCGTGAATCACAGGTCAGGCGCATGGTCAGGAGAACACCGTGAATCACAGGTCAGACGCATGGTCAGGAGAACACAGTCAATCACAGGTCAGGCGCATGCACACACACTATGAGTAGTTTAGAGTCTTTGGATTTCAGCGAGAAACTGGAGTGTCTGGATGAAAACCCACTCAACATAGGCAGAAAATGTACATGCAGCACAGGGGGAACATGCCTGCTCATATATGGTTAAACAGTTTTTGAAGTGTGTGTGTGTGTGTGTGTGTGTGTAAAACATCATGAATGTTGCATTTATCATTCCTTTTATTGCATTTTGGTTGACAGCTACTTCAAATCCTATTGGCCCTAAAAAATAATAATAAAGCTTCAGATTCTGAGATGTACGTGTCACCAGAGATGGATGTGTCTGATTAAAGCATCTGCTTCAGCAGATGGGCTGAACGTGAATAGGTGTTTTTAAGAATGGATGGATGTGGATGTCACGCAGCCCTACACCCCAGTCGCTTTGCATTTTCTATTAACCCTTTAAAGGGAAGTTCACTGGAATGAAGCTCAGCCAGAGATGGTACTGACTGGGTCTCTGCATGAATGCCCTGATAGAGGATCTGTGTGGCTCTGCTTGTCTTCCTTGACCCGCCGTTCGCACATAAGCTGATTGGTTCAGCCTTCGCCGACTACGCCAGGCTGCTGCGCACCTTGGGCCTGAGGGAGGGGGCTGCACTGTGGGCCTCGCGAGCTGGTGGTGCCGGCGAGGAGCTCCTGGAGGAGCTCTTCCAGCCTGGGGACGAGGCAGATGGGGGCCTGGAAGAAGCGGAGGGGGTCCTGGAATCCCCCAAGTAAAAAAAAATAATGGTGACAATAGACTTGGGGGGTACAGCTTGGGTGGGCCAGTGGGTCATTGTAGGTTCAGGATGGGTGGTGGTCACCTGATTAATATGTATGCAGGAAGGGTTTTTTATTTCATTTTTTATGATTGCAGTCTATTTCAACCTTACATTCCACTCCCTTTAGTTCCCAGTTCCTTTCTCTACCTCACTTCCTGTCCCACTTCCTGTCTATGGACCTCCCCAAAACAAACCGGCATCATATTCTGTACTCACTTTTCCTTTAGGTAGAAAAGTAACTGGATAGATCCAGGCTAAAGATGAAGTGCATTCCATACCTCCGTGTGCATTGCGTCTGTATCGGTGTTGGCTCTGCCTGATGTTTGTTGCACTTTAATAGGTCTTTTTCCCTGATTATTCAATCGGCTTGTGCCATGCCACTGTGAGTACACTAGAGGGCACTCTTCCGGGTGTGTACACTGTGTCATAGGCCAGTAGGCAGAGAGAGTTATGGGAAATGCCAACACGCATGCATGCATGCAGTCAGTCAGTCATATGTAAGGTTTCCAGGGCTAGTGATATCAAAACGGTAGTTTTGTACTTGATATAATAGTTTAAACCTATAAAATTCTCTCACTGCTCTAGCTCACTACTCAGTAGTATTGTACTTAAATTGACTACCCATAAATGATGCAGAAATTTATGCTTTAAATTCTCTTGCCTTTCTAACAGAACAGAAATGTTGGAGTTCATTTTTAAATTAATGACTGAATGTGCTAGGTTTGCTGGTGTAAAGCCAAATAGCTCAGCCCATGGGACGATTACCTTAAAAGGCCCATTTCCAAGTAAAAGGGCCGGTTTAGGATGTGTTCTCATTGAGTGTCATAGACTCAGGTGTGTCAGCCTTTGGTCTGACTCTTTAGGATGTTAGAAACGGGTGTCGAAAATCTGCTTCACTTCATCTCCACTGTAACCACATTCCCATTTGAAACAGAAATCTCTGCTCAGTATCCCTCTAATAATAAACAGAAATCAAATTGCATTATAAAGCATTTCCCCCACGTTCCCATTTTTTTGTGGATGGATTTTATACGCAATTGCGCCCTCTAGTGAAACTCATAACAGATTGCAGAGGCATTGCAGACAGGTTATTATATCCTGTATATTGGTTATGTACATTTCATGGAAAAAAAAAGCGAACGTGTTACATTAGTAGAAAAAAGAGCAGTTATTACCTTCAGAGCCACTTTGCCTGAATAAAGAACATGTCTGATCTTGAGAAGACATGAAAGGAGGCTGTAGTCTGTAATGGGTCTGATGTTTACTTGGTTTCCCTAATGGGTAATTGGTGCATACCGAGGGGAAGGTCTTTGAACTGCTCTGGACTCAAACCCTTCTCTCTTTGTGAGTAAAACTCAAAATCCCTCCCCATAACTCCTGCTTTCCTTGCTTTGAATCTCTTCAAAGATGTTTAAAAATAAGTATTTGAATAATGTATAAAAACTGCTTTTGTAAATACCACATCTTTGGAGATTTTACCATAGGTACAGTCTGCCGTAACCACCGCCCCCCCCCCCCCCCAGAAGACCCAAAAGACGTGGAGCTATTAGTGATGAGAACATACAGACCAGAATAGAAGTTGTTTTGCTGACATCCTGCTCCTTTGGGTGGGTATCAGATCTGTAAGATTAGGCGTTATTTCCTCTTTTTTTTCCCCCATTTGCGCCTCGCTGCTCCAGTTTCCGCCCAGTAGCGCACACTAGTGAGAACAGGGCATTTGATATGGCCTCTGAATGAATATTGGGGAGGGCATTTCAAGTATTTGAACCCTGCAGCAGAGGGATTAACAGAACTGTGGAGTAAAGTATTGAAGAGTGAGTGAAGAATCACAAGCTTGCCTGCTTCCTAAAGAGGGCGTTCAGCGCGGTGTGGGACAAATGGACACCCTGCCGTGATTGGCCCAGGCCACCGAGGCTTCACCTCCTTTGGGTGAAATGTTTGTGGATGCTCGTGTTGGATGACATGTGGCCAGTCTGAGCCATATCTCAGCAGACTTGATTTATTTCTGTTTTGGCAGTAAAATCCTGTCCAAATTTCTCTGCTGTTTCTTCTTGCATTTGTTTTTCACCCGAGTTGTTACTTTTAATTAATTTGCCTTTTTTATTCACCTGTTTATTGTTTTTGGCAGTGGAAGAAAAAGCGATAAGTAGGCAAATTTGATAATAAAAAATTTGATATATAATGTGACCCAAAGTCTTTCGAAAGGACCCACACTATTTAATATTTCAGATGACGAATAATTTCAAATACCAATGTAATACTTCATGTTAAGGGCCAGTTTTTGTGTTGGCATGAGATTCTCTAGCTGAAATTTGAAATTACATATGATTGCTGATATTGTGAGTCATTGGTAATTAGCAGGTGGATCAAAGTTACTATGTTCTGCTTTTATTTAAGTTACAATTTCTAACCTGTTACCCACTGCAGCATCTGTACATTGCCCTGTGATTCGTGCGTGCACAGTCAGGTGGTATTCTGCATGTCAGCGTTATTTTGTACATTAGGTATCGTAATCTACACACTTCTCAGATGCTGAGTCCTGGTGTTTCTTGTTGACCTCCCTTATTTCCCAAGGATATTCGCTTCAAATACATTTATAAATCTGTGTAAAATCATTGTTTGAATAACTGCTGTTATATGTTTTCATGATTGTGATTCATTTTTGGATTAATTGAAATACAGTATATGAATGTTATGACTATCTCACTTGTTCAGTTATTGTATCAAATGAAGTACTTTTGCCTGATTTCCTTTCGAATATGTTCATTGAATTTTCAGTTTGAACTGTATGTCTGTGGTAGAAAACTTGTATAAAGCTTTATGTATATACAATGAGAAATAAAATACTTTGAAATGGTGTCTTCATTTTCATTTGATGCCGTCTGTTTGCATTGTCTGCTAAATTCATTTCAGGGAGTCTTGTTCTCACAGTGACCACTAGGTGGAACTCTAGTATTAAAATCCAGGGGATTCAGGCTAAGTTAACTTGGTTTCAATAAACAAATAAAACTGCATATAGCTTTTGATGAAAATGCATCAAGCCAAGAAGTGGCAATTCAATAGTGTAGTAGTTCTCAATTGGTTAAGCCTCAGGTCCCACATTATTCCTCCATCATTTTGCAGTTAAATTACAACCCTTTATTTGATTGCATTTGTTTGTTTGTTTCACCAAAATGAGAGGGAATGGGGGGGTCCTGGCAGTAAAAGATTTCCGGGACGACATTGCACATCATTTGTGACTACTAAAGGCTTGATGTTACAAAGTTTTTCTAATTTCTATTTTTTTTTTTTTAACCTTAACCCGATGAAAATGATTCCTTGACCCACTTTAAGGTCGCAACCACTTTTTGGGTTGGGTTGAAAACCCTGATTTAGTGCACACGCAGTAACAATGACAGTCTATATTACTACTGTTATAGCGAGTTGCATTACTACAAAACAACCAGGGACTGAGAAATGTGGTATTGGAAGTTTGGAGCTTTGGATATTTCATCATTCTGCCTTAATTTGTTTTTCTTTGTTACTCAAACACACTAACATGAACGGCTTGTACCTTGCTCCAGAACCACGGCTGCGTGTCTGGTTTTTTTTTGCAGAAAATAAGAACACACCGATGCTGTATATTCGATCAAAAGCTATGGTGTTTCTATTGATTTTATTTGCATTTTAGAAGTATGGCATTAATTGAAGAGCGTAACAAGATGCCACAGAGTGGGGAATTTAAAGGAAACAGAAACATTTGCTAGTAACAGTATACAGGGGAGAAGCATGGAGGTCATACTCTGAACCTCAGACATCAGCCTGGACTCCTGTCAATCAGAAGGATGAGGGCTGTCGCTCAGCTCTGTTTAAGATTTTAGGCACTTGAAGCCCCCCCACTTCCTAACGATGCTTCTGCCAAACACCCCCCCACCCCCCATGTGTTCCCACCTCTTCTCAGCCTGTACTGTTCTCGATGTGCTGGTTCACTTTGTTTCCCCCCCCAACACTGATGAAAAATAATAAAATTACCATCACAGAAGCCTGATGGTTGGCTCACCTTGCCGCTTTACCTCTGACAATCAGCAATACCCTTTTTCCCCACTTAAAAAATACACCCCCCCCCCCCCCTTCATTTTTCATTCGTTCCTTTCTCTCACTCTGGAGATTGGACACAAACAAAACACAGAACAAAAAACAGCAGAAAAAACAGCTTAAAACAAAAGGCCTTTCAGCAAACAAACGGTTTCGTTGTGCAAGACGTTTTAATGAATGAATTCCGGAGTAAGGCCCGTCTGTTAGACCTGCGTGGTTAGTATGCAGGGCCAACAATGCCACTGTGAATGCTGTCGTCCTTTGAGGTGTCCTTTCTCTCCTCATTTTTCCTCTCCTCACAAGATGATCTCGGTTGTTCCTGTTCTAAATGGTCTCCCCACACCGTATTTTTTTGAATGTTTAAATCATGGTCACTGGATCTCATCCCAGAAAACTTCTGCCTGAGAAAAGCTAAAATGCCAAGCCAGCTCTTGTCCCACCCCCCCCCTGCAGTTTTGAATGGTGTTGGTGCTTTTTTTTTTATATTTATGTCTCGCACGGTTTCCTGGGAAACTCTAGTTCCGGTGCCCAGGGGCGAGCTGAAGAACTGCCCCGTGCTACCCCACCATCCGCATCACGGCACATTTACCGCCCTATAAGAAGGAGAAAATCCCTTTTGGCTCAGCCTGCACCCCTTAACTTAATCTTCCTCCTTAGAAAAACGTCTTTCAGTTCATAATTTGTTCATTATCCCATGTAATTGAACATAAAAGGAGTGAAAACAGGAGGAGAAACAACCCTATTTTAATATTGTTTAAAATGCCAGGGACGCCTGAATGTATGGTGACGCCCAGCTGGGACTCTGGCCCTGGAGGTGCCCGCTTTGGGCTTTGCTCCCCAGCTCGCCTGTGATTCTTCTCCCCCCTGCTTTGGGATCCTGAGCGTCTTCCTTCCACCTCAGGCATGAGAGACCAGCTTGAGCGGGATGCCTGCTCCATGTTTGTCTTTCTCTGCTTATTAGAATCTTTTACTAAGGATCAGAAAAACCTATACAGCTGCTCGCCAGGTTACTATGTTCAATGAATTACACGAGATATTCAACACCTTATTATAAAATAGGCTTTGTTTTAATGATTTTGCCCAACTGCGGGCTAATGTAAGTGTTCTAAGCATGTTTGAGGTAGTTTGATGTGTACTATATTAAACTGCATTGTCACCTTAAGATATTATGTCTTATGGTAGGTTTATCAGAACGTAACCCAATTTTAACCCATAACCTAAGGACCGGCTGTATATGGCATCAGTTTCTTATGGTTCCTGTATGGAACTACATCACTTTAATCCAGCTAAGTAAATTAATGATTGCTTGCTATATTTCACTTGGGAAAACATCTGCTTATTTAGTATCTGTTTTGACAATCCCCATTTATCATTACATAAGTTTAACTGTTGTGACCATAAGTATTTTAAGGTGTTTAATGTCTTCCCGATATTTGATCCCAGTATTATCGGTATTTGCTTTACAGTTAATGTTTACTAAAGGTCTGGTACCCGGTCCCGCCTCTTTTAGGTGTAAGAGGTATCCCATTCGCTGGAGCAGGTGCTTCGTGCGTATCCGATTGGAGAGTGGAGCAAGTCAATCTAACCCATCTATCTGACAGTGCTGTTGTGGTCAGGGCAGTGGACCCGCTATACCTGAGAACTGTGGGATCTGATCCTTAGTGAGATCATAGACCACAGGACCACATGCTTTCCTCAACCTCCTCCAAGAAGCATCCAGCTACCAGGTTTTAAACTGAGACATTCTGAACACCATATTTGGCCTAGAACTTTAAAAGGATTTAAAAGGACATTGACCAAGTAATTTGATTTAATTGTACTATGGAGAGTTTATTTTGTCTCACTTTGATTACCCCCCAGCCCCTGGAAAGGGGGGCTGCTCCTACTAATTTCTGGATACTGACTGAAATCTCTGACACTCCATAAAAATCTTCTCCAACCCTGGCAGGTCTCTACTTGAGCTTCTCCATTTTGTTCTCTTCCTCGTCTTTCTTTATCTTTGTTATCCTTTTCTCCACCCCCCCATCCCCACCCCAGCTCTGGCCACTGAAACCATTCCGTCACCCATGTCCACCAGAAGCATACTTCATATGGCCGGTCATTCTATTTATTTTACTTATTTGTACACAACGCTGCTTATTATCGTCTTTAGTTACACCTCCACTGTTATTTTTGTTGCACTCCTTCATCGCAATCATTGTAAACTCTTGTGCAAGTTTTTCATGCCAAGAGCCAAGTAGTATGTCAAATGATTTGATTTGCTTCATCTGCCGGTATGAGGGCGGTGGTCATGGTACAAGGCTATGGAGAAAGGAGGCGGAGGTTTGCTGGGGTGCCGGCGAACTCCACGTCAGTCTGTCACTATGACGTCTCGCGGCTGAGATTATCGAGTGGAACTAGATAATAACGTGCCAGCAGCTCTGCATATCTCCCACCAAGCTGGCTGCTCTCCGGAATGACAGATGAACTAAATATTATGTAATTAATAGAAACTGATAATAATGTGATATTTTCAAACTTTCCTCCCCCAGTTTTCCTCCCCCCCTCTGGTTCCTTTATAATTTGGTCATATGCTGATAGATCAATCTGTCACTTGAATTGCATTTGTCACGGTCTGCTTTTAGGACAAATCGTATTGCAGAAACTTTCCACAGAAAATAAATTATGGAATATAAATGTCAAAATCCTTTTTTTTTGACAAAAAACAGCGATTTCTTACTCTGGTTATTTGTTCACATTGTGTTCATTCACCAATTTCAAACAAAATAATCTTACTGTCCTGGATGGTGCTTTTATGTTTTTTTCCAAGTACTTTGTCATGTCTGAGACAATTGAGGCCTGTTTATTCCCTTGTGCTTGTTTATTTTATGCTTTGGATGCTGTGTAAACATAGTGAAGCTTCTGGAAGATGTCCATTGGATGATAGAGGCCGTGGGTATTTGACCCACCCATTTAATCATCCCAGCAATTTACCAAGACAAAGGTGATGAGACATACAGACTCTCACCCCCCCCCCCCGACACCCCCCCCCCTTCTTAATTAGTGATATAATTGCTTGGATTATGTTGTCTCTACTTTTTGTTGCTATTTGATTGTGAGCTGCAGTGAAACACCTCCATATGTGATGCAGTTTAGATGGAAGTCATACTGCTGGCCAGATTGCGGCGTAGCCTAACCGCAGATCGGCGTGCCTGAGGAGGAGAAGGACGCAGGGCCAAGAGGGGAGTCAAAGGGGAGGGGGCGTGTTTTCACCGCATTTACATGACCCTTATTATGGGTTCTGGGAAGACCTGCAGTGTTCATAATCTTTGAAGACTCAAGCCATTAAAGAAGGGCTTCTGCGACTTTCCTGTCTACAAACTCTCAATGCAGCCATCAATGAAGGCGTTGTGCCACGAGACGTCGGTGTGCCGCTTCTGCCCGCGCCCGGCTGGCTGTAGTCGACACACGGGTCCCGTGAGCGGCGCATGTGGGGGGAAAGGAAGAGGCGGCATGTGTGCGGACGTGTGTCTTACCTGGGGGGACATGCAAGCTTTAACGTGTCTGGAAAATAGTTATGAATACTGTGTGTGTCTCTGAGGAATAGAGGGGCGTGTTTGTGTGAGAAAGAAGTTATGCACGTAGGGCAAAGCGAACATGCCTATGCGAGATGGGAAAGACGATTAGGCATTTAGTTATCGTGCAGGATTTAGGGGTGGAGTCTTATGGGGAATCAGTGCTTTTGAAGCATGGTGATGTGCTCTGGGATTAGATGCTGACCGAACCACCTCTGCCGCCTTCACGCT